CTCCCCAGTACCTCCTTGCTTGTATGGTTTCTGCTGAGAGATCTGAGCTTAATCTAACTTACTTGCCTTTGTGTGTAACACTTCTCTTTTCCCTGGCTGCTTTCAGGATTCTCTCATCTTTGATTTTGGAGAGCTTGATTATGATATGCCTCGGTGATTTTCTTTTGGGCTTCTTGAATGTATATCTTTTCACTTTTCAGGATGTTAAGGAAATTTTCTTCCAGCATTTCTTCAACTATTTCCTCTGTGGACTTGTGTGATTCTTCCTGGTCTGGAATGCTGATAATTCTTAAGTTATTCCTCTTCATGTTGTCCAACGTGAATCTTAGACCTCCTTCAGATTTCTTTTTGATCCTTTTTTCTGTTTGTTGTTCTATCTTACTGGTACTGACAGATTTGTCTTCCAGTTCACTAGTTCCAGCTTCCATCTCTTCTATTCTACTCCTTTGCCCCTTCAGTATATTGTCTATTTCTGATATTCTATTATTGATCATTTAGACCTCTTTCTGTAGGTTTTGAATTGTTTCCAATGCTATAGCTATCTTATTTGACTGTTCCTATAGTGTTTTCCTGACTTCTTCTTTATTTGTCTCAACTCCATTGTGAAGAGTTTTGAAACATTTTATAATCATTTTTCTGAATTCCTTCTCAGGCATTTCCATGGCTTGCCCTCCTTCCAGAATGTAGTCCAGGTCTACCTCTAGGTTATTTGTCTCAGACATTTTATCTTGTTTCTGGACATATACTGATATGGTCATCTGCTTCTGCTTGTTGGACATGCTTAGTGTTTATCGTGGCCTTAATACTTAATTGAGTGTGTCTTTTGGTATTTTTTATGCTTTCTGATTGTCTCCAGGTAGATGTGATCAGGATGTGAGGTTCCCTTTTCACTCTTCTTATTACTTAACTCAGAGTAACTTTCACAGGTGTTGTCTGCCTCCCTGGTATATGGCAGTTGGTATTGGTTCTTGCCTGGATTTTAGTGTCTTATAGAGCATGATTGTAGCTTGACTATATGGCAGTAGTTGCTGTCTCTTCGTGGGTAACATAGGGAGAGAAAGAGTCCCCCAAAGGTAAAAGGGGGAGCATAAAACAGCAACAGCAAAAAACAAAACAAAACAAAACAAAAAACAGGGGAAAAGAAAATGACCCAAAAAAACCCAACAATAACAACAAAAAAAACTAGATCGGATACTGTAGTCTATAATCGCAGAAAGGGGAGAGGAGGGAGAGAAGAAGAAAGAAAGAAAAAAATCTGTAGCCTAATATGAGTATAATTTTAATGTCCTCTTTTAGCTTCTTGCCTTCAAGGTCGTCTGATAGATTTCAAGATGCCACTGTTGGTTGTTATGCTGTACCTCAGGATTTAATTGAATTTTCAGCCTGTTTTGTTTTTAAACTCTCTTTCGCTCTCTACACCCCTTGTTCTGGCCTTTTCCTTTTTAAAAAAACAGTTCAGGGAGGGCTCTTGGGCCGAGAATATCTGTGCGCATGTGTGGCAAAAGAACACACAAGTGGTGGGGGTGCGGAGGTGTCATCTCGCTCAGGCAGCCCCTCTAGTCACCAGAATGGAGGTGTGCAAACAGTGGGTGGCCAATGAACAGATACCAAGAAAAAAGAAAAGAAAATCAGAACAAAGCAAAACCGACAAAGTGTATTTGTCCACCTTTGCTCTGAGGTTCCTCTGGCGTTATTCCATGGTGGGTGTGCTCCCCCTCTTGGTGTTGCCATTTGGTCTCACCTAAGTTGTCGGCTCCAGGCCCCACAACCCTGGCAGATTCAAAAGTATGTGATTTCCCACTTCCGCTACAAGTTCCACCAGCTACAAGGCTTCAAAAACATTTTAAGTATTCCTAGAGCTTTGGAGCTCTGCCCTGAACACTATGCTGACAGCGAACTTCACTGCACCTCTACCCTACCTGCCATCAAGCCCCACCCCAAAGCACAAATATTTTAAAAACATAAACAAAAATAACCAAACACATTCAGATGATCCTGATATACAATAAGGGTTGAGAACCACTGAGCCTATATTTAATCTATATTCTTGTCCACTACACCATCACAGCCAAACACAATCTAAGTTCTTATATATGTTTTTGAGTTTGTTTTACCATTTTGGCCAACTAGACACCTTAGGAGAAAAGAACTCATTTTTGAAATGCCTTTGGTTGTTCTTTATCAAAGTATCATGAGATATTAACTTCTCAGTTGGTGATGTTAAGCACCAACAAGTTGGTTCTGATTCATAGCAACCCTTTATATGATTCCCGAGGCTGTAACTTCTTATTGGAGCAGAAAGCCTCAACTTATTCCAGAGGATTTGTGGGTAGGCTCCAACTGCCTATCTTGTGGTTGGAAGTCCAGTGCTTATCCTACAGAGCCACACACGTTTCCATTTCTCAGTACATGGTTGCTGTTGTTAAGTGCTGTCGAGTCAGTTATGACTCATAGCGATCCTGTATAGGGTTTCCAATTGGCTGGAGAGTTTGAACCGCTGACCTCGCGGTTCAAACTGACCTTGCAATCCAGTGCATTAACTCACAGCGTCAAAAAGACCCCAAAGGACACAGGATGGCTATATATCTATATAAAACGTGGATGGAAATTCCCGGAGTGAGATTATGAGAGATATCAATAATTCTTTTTTCTATCTATATTTTCTAAATGTTCTACCATGATGTATTACTTCTGTTCAAAAGTAAAAAAATAATAATAATCAAAAGAAAACTTAAAATTTGCTAGAATTTCCCAGAATATCTGTAAGAGACAAAGAGCAATATTTCACTTTATGAAATAAGTACCTATCTGAAAAGTATACAAATCATATATTCTTACCTAAAAGTTACAAGTCTATAGGTATTCTCTGCTTGAGCATCTACTGACACTTGTTCAGCTCTAAGGTTTTCTCTACCAACTTTTCTCATTTGTTCAAACGCATGATCCCCAAATGAGTAATGATCAATATTCAAATTTCCCAAGTCATATCCTATTTATTTACAGACTTACATCCACTTATACTTTTAACAAGTATTTATTAAGTGGCTCTCCTCATAAAGCACACTACAGAAAGGCACTGTTCTCACTCAAAAAGAGCATACAACATAGAGAAAAATGGGACAGAATATATATTCCTGGCACAGATAACAAACGCCATAGGAATGCAATGTAAGGAAACCGTACTTTGTGTAGGGATCAGGAAAACCTTCATAAATCAGATAATATGAATTGAGGCGAAGTGATAAACAACATAAAAAATAAAACAGGCACTCATGGAAAGTTAAAGTTGGTTGGGACGTTGAATTCCTTCTAATCTAAGTTTGCCTACTGAAACTGTATTCATTCTATAATAGTCATATTCTCCAAGCAGACTCTCACCATAGCTTTTGACCCCCAATATGCTCAAGTTTCCCTGAATTTGTACTCTATTACAGTACTAACATCTGATGATGCCTGAACACTTTTTTCAGGCAACTAAAATCAAGCCATTTTTTTTTACTTGCAAAGAGCTATAAAAATGTTATTTATCACCATTTTCTAATTTTTTCACTAGTGAATTTTACAAAACTTGTAAATCTGCTCTTGCCACACCCTGTTTAAAGTTCTTCAATGATGTCTTTTTTCTTAGAAAAAGGCATAAATTAAAAAAAAAAAAAAAAGGCATAAATCTTTTAAATGGTCTACATAGCTTGCCTGTGTATCTATACCAGATAATCTAAGGAGTTCTGGTAGCGTAGTGGTTTCGAATCGGGCTGCTAACCTTAAGGTTGGCAGTACGAAACTACCAGCTCTTCCGCGGGAGAAAGATGAGGCTTTCTACTCCCATAAAAATATGGAGCCTCGGAAACCCTGTGCAGGGTCACTATGAGTCGGAAACGACTCCACAGTACTTAACAACAACAACAACAACAACATAGCTTGAAGGTTTGATCCCTACTTACCTAACCTCGTTTCTCGAAGTGACAAGCTTTCTCTATCTCTGGACTTCTGCACATACAGTACCTTGTGAAAACCTCATCCTCCACTTCTAGTTTGGCTTTGTTAGCTTCTGTTGCTGTTGGGTGATGTCCTGTAGATTCCAACTCATAGGGACTCCACAGGGCAGAGTAGAATTGCGCATATACAGCTTCCAAGACTGTAAATCTTTACAGAAGCAGACTGCCGCATCTTTTTCCCTCTGAGCAGCTGGTGGATTGGAGCTTCCAACCTTTTGGTTAACAAGTGAGGGCTTAACCACAGCACCTTCGACTCACCCTATTTTCAATCTCATAGAACCATGGTACCTCATTTAAAGAACTCATCTCAGTTTTTATGTATGCATTGTCAGTTTAATTATTTGATTACCTCCCCTATTAGAAAACAAACTCCATTAAGATTAGGGACCTTGCCATCCTCGTGCCTGGGAATATCGGGTCCTCAGTTGATATTTGTTGAAAGAATGAATAAATGCGTTAAGGTTCTCCTTCAATTAGGCTGTTGGTTCTTGGGAGACAGGCCCCGCTTTTGCCTCTGCTGGTAAGAAAAAATCACTTTATGAACACGGGCCCCAACGAAATGGATTGGTACAATAGCAGCAGCAATGGGCTCAAGCTTAACAATGAGTGTGAGGCTGGCACTGGATGGGGCAGTGTTTAGTTCTGTTGTGCATAGGGTCTGAGTCAGAACCGACTGACAGCAATTAACAAGAACAAAGGAACTGCGAACTGCCTAGAAGCATCTCAATCAAATTCTTAGCCACACTTCCCAAAGACCTCGCAGGGGACCAGCGGGGTGCGCATGAACTAGGATTCAGGACTGCAGCAAAAGCGTTTTAAGTCGGAAGGATTCCAAGTCTGCGGACAGCCTCACCAGTCCAGAGAAACTTGAACGGAGTTTTGTTGGGGGGCGGGACGCCGGAAAAAGATTTTGGACATACAAGAGTGCAAACCCCATGTTCAACACTCGTCCCCTTAAGGACATTCCTAGATGCTGCAACTGGTCAGTCTGGAACAGGCACCCACCTCCCGAAGCAGCTTCAGTTCCCCGTGCTGGATCTCATACAGCTGAATGACGCCGGTGCCCCGAGCGAAGTTGCCCATGGACACAAATTTGGCGCTGCATGGCACCCATTTACAGTCAAACACCGTGTAGTTGAGGCTCTTCTGGATATGGGCGATAATCTGAGGTTTCTCGAAAGCCGACATGGCCCAGCAGATTTCACCTACGGCAACTGCCACCCCCTGAGCAAACACTAACCTGGAAACCAGAGAACAAACATTAAGGACCGTTTGTCCCTCCCGCTTGCCGTACTCGGTCCCTGAAACGTGAATTTAGGTATCTAATCTAATGCCAGATACGCTACTGTGATCACACAAGTTTTCCTTTACGAACAACAAAAATTTGCTTATCGCCGTTATGCCCTGACTTTTTCACATATACAGTTTTGACTTTACAAAATGTTCTATCTGCGAATTGCGCAGCCGGAAAGAGGCCATAAAAATCAGGCATATTTTAAGTTGGCTTCTACCCACGTTAAAAAAATCCGGCTTCAGGTCCCCTCCGTGGGACTTCTAAGTGAAGTGGGCGGAGCCCTAGAACAGGCTAGCAGTCTTGGCAGTCTGTCGGTATCGGCCTGCGAGGTTTCGCAGTGCACGTGTCGGACCCGGAAGTGCCTGTATACGCTAGCGATTCCTAGTGATGGAAGGAGAGATGGAAGTACAGAGCGCCGGGGCAAAGGACGGTTTCACTAAGGTCACTCGCAAGGGTGGTCGGCAGGCGAAGAAACGGCGGGCTGAGCAGCTTTCGGCGACAGGGGAGAGCGGAGACGCGGTCCGCATGGACACAGAAGAGACCCGACCCGCGAAGAGGCCCGTCTTCCCGCCCCTCTCCGGGGATGGACTCCTGGTACTTGCGGGGGACCCCGGACAGGAACGGGACAGGGCTCAGAAACGTCTCAAACCGGTGGCCTCTGGGTGATGTTGAAGCTGCGGGTCATCGTCTGGAGAATTCCTTCAAGAGAACTCTCTTGAGGTTTTAACTCGTTTAGTAAAGGAGCGTTTTTGTGATTCAGCAGTCTTCATACAACTCCAGCCACACCTCTCCAGACATCTCCTAAATTGTGTATTCTTTTATGTTGTAGGGTGGGAAAGAAGAAACAAGGAAAATTCCGGTCCCAGCTAACAGATACACTCCATTGAAAGAGAACTGGATGAAGATATTTACTCCTGTTGTCGAACATTTGGGACTTCAGATACGCTTTAACTTGAAATCGAGGAATGTAGAGATCAGGGTAAGCAGAGTGTCAACCGTTTCCAAATATACTAGGGTTTCTTCTACAGGGATCAAGGCGTGCATAGACTGTTTAACAGAGTTAGTTAAATGGGTTCTTAGTTTCCTAATATATCTTGAGTTTGAACTACTTAAATGCCTTGAAAATCTGCGCTCACTGCAAATATTAATTGAATTCGTAAATTAGATCTGAAATAGTTATCAAGATATTGGTATGTCTGTACATGTATTGTGTTGTACTGAGAAAGGACAGAAGAAAGGGGTTGCCCTTTTCAGAAGGTGGGTAAGACTGAGACATGTCCCCTGTACGCTTCACATTTTTGGATATGTTTGCAGCAAGGTAAATATCCTGCCAGACCTTTGTATTTGTGGGTGTACGTCCACTCTCCCTACCACACCTGTTCAGCCTGTGTCTATCCATTATTGTTGTAATTATTAGGTGCTGTTGAGTCTGTTCCAACTGATTGTGACTCTTAACACAACAGAATGAAGCATTGCCTAGTTCTGCACCATCCTCACATTGTATTTACCCATGTTGTTAATGCTGACCCATATTAACCCATAGATAACTGTTACTGTAGGATTGTGCTTATAACAGTATTTACCTGTATTCAGTTTAGCTCTGGCACTCCTCCCTGTGTCTTTACCAGCCTTCATTCTTCTGCCAACCTCTCGTATATTGCCTTTTCCATGTGTCTACTCTATTAACACATACATGTTTTATGTGTGTATAAACAAGGTCAGCAGTTCAAAACTATCAGCCATTCCGTGGGAGAAAGATGAGGCTTTCTGCTCCTATAAAGAATTACTGCCACAGAAACTAACTGGGTCGCTATGAGTCGGAACCAACTCCATGGCACATAACCACCGCTATATGAATATATAGGACTCCTGGTGTGGCGCTGTGGGTTAATAATGCCCTGGACTGCAAAGTTGCTTTGAACTGCAAGGATGACTGTTCAAGCTCACCAGCCAGTCCTCATAAGCCCTATACAGGGTCGCTGTGGATCGGAACTTACTTGATGGAACTTAACAACAACAGCATAATGTATGTGTTGTATGCCATCCAGTCGATTCCCACCCATAGTGACCCTGTGTAGTGGAGGAGAACTGCCCCACAGAGTTTCCTAGAATCTGCTCTGTCCTGAAGTCTTACTATACCTTGGAATTGAGTCGATGGCTGTGAAGTTAATCTGCATGGAAGCAGACTGCCAGGTATTTCCCCTTGGATCTGCTGGTAGGTTCAGACCCTCAACCAGGGCTCCTCCAGTCCAGAAGTTACACATTTACAATGAACTAACTCTGGGTTTTTTTCTTGTTCTAATTTTGTATCGTAATTGATGACCACAGTTCTATAATACCTGCTTTCTTGAGAATTCTGATACCATTCTTATGACAAGTATAAACTCCTCTCTGTTTAGGAACTGTGATAGAGAACAAAGCAGAAGGCCCTGCTCCGAATACTTGATCAAGTGTCTAATACTGAATTGATGGTAGAATCCTTGTCTGTTCCTGTTGCCACTCTCATTCAGTTGTTGATCGTTTTGTGCTGAGACCTTTTTGTTTCATTCTAGTTCTTTTGTATTGCTTTTAAAATCCCTCCTCCCTCAAATACTATATTTTTTCTTAGAATCTACTTGATTTCTTCTTCATTAATCTGTCTTTTTACTCTAGGTGTTTTTGTTGTTGCAAACTGATTTCTCTGGGTCCCTGTTTTTAGTCTTGTATGTTTTACTTTGAATTTCCTAGGTCGTTGTCTGCTTTTGCTGGTTTTCTGTTCAAAGAACTCCCTTTAGTATTTTTGTACAATTGATGTGGTTATTTACAAATTCTTGTCATTCCTGTTTATCTGTATTTTATTTTCTCTAAGACTTTGTGGTGTTGCAGTTGTGTTTGATTCATGATTATATGTTTTGTTCTCTGCACTCACCATCTGTCTCCTGATGTATGTGATGGATACTGGAATTGTGGACATGATGCTGTTTGTGTAGGCTGGTTCGTGGCAGGTTCACGTGCCTCAAAATGAGGGGTGATCAGCCTAATGCCCGGGGCAACCCCAGCCTGAGCAGAGGCTGTGAAGGAGGGTATGCCTCTGGTCACTGGGCTGGAGAGGGCAGGGACTGGCTACCAGGAGGGTGGGGAACAAGAGAGACTTGCACCCCCTTTGTCATCAACTTCTTGCCTCCTCTCATGCCTCCAGGCTGCCGTATTGAAGGCCCCTGAATGTGTTAAAGATGGCCAAGCCACTACAGGCCAGCAGAGTGCCTGCTTGCTTTTCTTCTGTCACTGCTCCTGGTCAGCTTCCGCTTCCAGTTGCCACTCAGTCCACCTCTCTGTCCATTCCTTTGAAGCTCAGAGTCCCAGCACCGTCTATGCCTGGTTCTCTTTGTCTCCTATGTCCTTGTTATAGGAGATCAGCTCAGTGTGTTTGCTCCGCCATTTTGCCCTGGAAGTCCTTTCCACAAATTTTGTGAAGCCCTACTACATTCTCCGTGCCAGTGGCCTGACCACATTGCTTTTATCAGGGTATCCTGGTACCTTTCATGTCTTTAAAAGGTGCAAGTTAAGCTTTTAACAGAATAATCTGCCTTTCCAGTGAAAGCTCTGTGGATCACTGTGGTCCCATCCCGCTGTGTTTGGAGTTGCTTTGATTTGGAATCCTAACCAACTGCATTGTTGACACTTGTATATCAGATCCATAGTGGTACTTTGACATGCCCAACATCATTTGGTCTTTTAAGTACCATCCAGTCAAGTGTTGGCTTCTCCAGTACGACATGCTGGGTTGAGAGCTCCACAGCAAGGAGGATAGATAACTTGCCCCTGTGCAAGTCTGTTGTTGTTGTGAAGTGCCCTTGAGTCATTTCCAACCCATAGCAACCCTGTGTAGGATTTCTGAGGAGCAGCTGGTGAGCTTGAACCACTGACCTTGCAGTTCACACGGCTTTGCAGCCTGGCGCATTAACCCACAGCGCCACACCAGGACTGGAAATTGATGATTAGAAAAGGTGTGTATCTCTGCCAAAATCATCAAGCTGGTATCTTGATGCTGTGTTAGAGATTCCTCTGGCTCTTGCACTCTGACCTTTTATATACGGATGAATTATCCTATGTGACTTGTCCAACAACAAAATTAATTGTATTCACCATGTTTTGTAACCATCACTAGTATCTTTTCAAAAAATTTTTCATCATCCCAAATAGAAACTTTAGTACACTTTATGCAAAAACTTGTCATTCCTCCTTCTCTAAGCCCGTGGTAACTTCTAATGCTTTTAGTCTCTGTGTACTTGCCTGTTCTGGTTATTTCATAGAAGTGTGATCATATGCTTGTTTTTTTATGTCTTATTTTGCTCAGCATAATGGTTTCAAAGGTTCATGTCATAGCAAGTATCAGAATTTCATTTCTCTTTATGGCTGAATAACATTCCATTATTTGCATATATTCCCATTATTTATCTACTTCTCTGTTGATGGTCAGTTGAGTTGTTGCACCTTTTGGCTATTGTGAATGATAATGCCCCTCCCACAGCACGCTCTGTTTCTCAGCTGAGTTGGACCATTGGTTGCATGGCCAGACAGAGTCTATTGATAGTACTCATGGTTGCCAGGTTTATTTGGGAAGTCAGTGGTTCTAATTCTTTGGTCAGACCTCTTCTCTGCTCTACCCACAGGCTGGCCTCTCTCTGGCCCTTGGCCCTTTGACCTGGCCTCTGCCCTTCTTGGCTTACAAGGTGCTTTTAACTCTGCTGATACTGCCCAGAGGCTCCTTCAGTCCACTACAATCCGCAGCCCAAAGGCGCTCAGGTCATCTCAGCTCTGAGGTGGCAAGTCTAGCTGGTCATTAAGTGCCAGGAGGCATCCTTCACAAGCTGGCCTCCTGCCCCACAGCTCCATGGGCTGGGGGCCCATTGCTGTCTTGTGGTCTGGCTCTTGGTTCTGTTCAGTGTCACAGCTCTGTCTCCTGGATCAAGAACACACAGGCGTCTCAGGGTCCAAAGGACACACTCCTCCCTGGCTCTTCTTTCCCCCTGACAAATATGGCAAACTGGTTAGAGTTCAAACATATTAACTTTTTTTTTTTTTTTTAGTCCTATCATTTTGCTCATAACAAAATTGAATAGTCTTATTGGAATCTTTCCCCACCTTCTCTTACCCAGACCCATCAGGAAAGCCATTTGGTGGGAGTCGCAAAGACTATTAAAAGAGTCATGTTGAATAATTCAGTCCACCGCTCTGATTCATAGTGATACTGTGTGCGTCAGAGTAGAACTTTGCCATTGGGTTATCAGTGGCTAAGTTTTCAGAAGGACAGCACCAGGCTTTTTCAGGGTACCTCTACGTGGACTCAGATCACCATCCTGTTGGTTAGCATCCAGAAGTGTCAAACATTTGCAGCACTCAGGGGTTCTTTTTGACACTTTAATTTCCTCACGTATTCAGTAGGATTATAACCTTTTACATTCAGGGTTGTCAGGAAGATTACAGCTAACCAGGTGTACAGCACTGTGTGCATGTCATTTACAGTGGTAGGCATTTTATTAACAGCAGTTATTACCGCTAATGGGGTCCTGTGTGGCGCTGCAGGGGAATACACTGCACCACCAGCCACTCCTCAGAAACCCTGTACAGGGTCGTTATGGGTCAGAACCGACTCTATGGCATTTAATACAACAATAGTAATGTTAATGAATAAAGTCTTTGGAGGCAGCATCTGTGCTTAAACTAACATTCGTAGTTTCCCATTCAGTACCCAGAATGCAAGTAATTAGGACTGGAGTTGTCAGTTTGGGAAACACCAGCATGTAAATCTCATGATTAAAGTTATGAGACTAGATAGATAGCCAGAAAACCGAAACAACCCATTGCCATAGAGTGAACGCCAACTTGTAGACTCTGTAGGGCATGCTTCCTAGGGTAAGGCTTTCTGAGAGCAGACAGCCTCGTGGTTCTCCTGCAGAGCAGCTGATGCGTTCAAACTGCTGACCTGGTTAGCAGCCCAACATATAACCCACTACACCACCAGGTCTCCCCAGAAGACGGGAGTTCAGGGCAAGGAAGGCCTGCTTCGGAATGTGAGGGGAAAACTTTCTGCCCACCACAGTCAGAGCAGACACCCAGTGTGGTTCCATGCAGCTGGGGAAGTTTCATTATGCAAACTAAAGATGGTGTTTATCCCGCCGCACTAGTGGATATATTAAGAAGAGTTTGTGAGGAAGGACTTATAATAACAGAAAAAAAATTGTTCATTAAATTTTGTTAGAATAGTCTCATTTTCATTTTCAGCTTTAACTTGTACTTTTTTTTTTCTTTTAAACAGACTTGTAAAGAAACCAAGGATGTTAGTGCTCTGACAAAAGCAACTGATTTTGTGAAAGCCTTTATTCTGGGATTTCAGGTGGAGGTGAGTGACTTCATGACAGCTGAAATGAAGGCTTAAAAATAATCTGAACATTTTCAAGGATTTGGGTGTTTAAGAAAACGTGAGGCTTCTCACTTCTAGGTTACATACAGATTTTGGTCGAGTTGTGCTTCCGCATCCGTCCTCCTGGGCATGAGAGAGAGGGAGGGCAGGGCCTTCATGTGTTCACTTTTTGTGCTGTAGGATGCGCTGGCCCTCATCAGGTTGGACGACCTCTTCCTAGAGTCTTTTGAAATCACAGATGGTGAGTTTAATAGTTAGTCTTTTTCTGTGAAGATACTACCCTTTTTGTGACTTAAAGCTATTTTAATAGCATCAGATGAGCTGTATTGTTAACAACTTTTTTTCATGTATATTTGGTGTCATTTAGTGGGAAACATTAGTTAATGGTTTACCTTTTTCTGTGGTGGTGGGTGGCCCACTGGAAATGCCTTGCTCACTGAGGGACTGCCCATGTTGTCTAGTTAAACCTTTAAAGGGAGATCACCTCTCGAGAGCAATTGGACGAATTGCTGGCAAAGGAGGAAAAACCAAGTTCACCATCGAGAACGTAACCCGGACGCGGATAGTTCTGGCTGATGTGTAAGTATCTGCTCTGAGAAAATCATTGTCCTCATTGACAGCTGGTATTTTCATGTTGTTGAAAAGCCATAAAACCTGTAATTTATGCTTAATGTGATCACCGTAATCTTTGGCAATACAAATCATCAGTCCCCAGCTCAATATGTATTCAAGTTACAGTGAACCACATCACACCTGTGCTTTTCCTTCTTTCTTTTTACATCCTGTCATTAGTAATGGAGTCCTTGTATGGTGCCCTAGGAAAAGCAGTGGGCTGCTAACCACAAGGTCAGCAATTGAAGCCCATTAGCCATTCCTCAGAAACTCTCTACAGGTTTGCTATGAAAGAGAACTGACCTGACAACACAACTTGGTTAGTGATAAGGACTACATGCAACGTTGCAGTGTGTAATTTGCTGATATTCTCATTCCCAGATATCTACTACAGATGTCCACTGTTGTGATCTATAAAGATAATGATCATAAAAGGCAGTAGTAATGGAAACTGGGAGGAATGAAGTATTCTGTGTACATCAAAACCAACTAACAATAGAGTTGTTGGATCAGAACCTGGGGAATGCCCGTATGTGGTTCTGGATAGGTAGTCACCTGCTTTGAAAACATTAAGTTTAGCTGAGAAATTTTCAGATGTTATAGCTTTTTTCTCAATTAGCAATTAGAATCCCTATTAAAAGAAATTATGTTATACAACCAAATATTTAAATAATGTTTCATGGCTGTCTGTTAAATCTGTAGGGGAGAGCCAGGCATGGTTGCTTTAAGTGCCTTGTGAAGCTTTTTAAACAGTTTTTGCAGGCCTTTCTTTTCATGCGAGAAAGGTGAGTATTGGGAGTTGGGTGAAAACCTGGAGAGGATTTGTACAAGGAAGGCGGCCAGACGTGAAGGCCCACCACCCCACTGAGCTCACAGAGCTGCTCTGCCATCAGGTTGGGGATCTAACCAGCAGATGGCTCAGATTATGTAATGCCGTGAAGTTGGGAAATGAAGCAGTTGACTGAGAGAGGGATCTGCCTGCTCCTAAATCCAGACATAATTCCATTTTACATGATCTTATCTTTGTTCCAAGCTGAGGGGCTCATCATTTTTTAGAATCTAAATTTTAGATTGTTCTACCTTAAGAAACGCAACTGTATTGGCAACCCTATACATGAAGCCAGGTTGTATTCTCTTTATTATCTGTTGAGCCTGGAGTTGAAAATGTGAAGCCATGAGAAAAATCTTTTGGGGCTGGAAATCTAAAAACCACAGAAATGCATTCTGCATTAAAAATATATATATTTAGATCTGAAAGCTTTCGTTAATTTAGAAACCCTAAAAATATATACATGTTCGTGTAAAATTTGCTTGTTGAAATGAATGTGCAGCTTTCTGAGACATAATTTACGTGTAATTCTCCTTGTCACCCCCGCCCACTCCAACATCTGTATCAGCCAGGGGCTGGTTCCTCCTGCAGTCAGTTTCTTTCCCAGGCAACCACTGGAATGCTTCTATCACGATGGTTTCCCTTCTCTAGAAATTCATGTAAATGAAAGCATCAAGTCTACCTATGTAGTATTTTGTATTCGTCATCTTTCACTTAAACGTGGTGTTTTACATGTCTGCAATGAGTACTATTCCATTGTATGAGTATATTACATTCTGTTTCTTTGGTTACCAGTTAATGAGCATTTGGGTTATTTCCAGTTCGGACTATTAGAAAAATGTTGCTATTGAGTTACTTTTAAAATAGTCCTTATTTTTCTTACAAACTGAATGACACACTACATGAAATGTTTACCTTGTAGCTTTGGCTATATGTAGGCTGATTGGAAACCCCCGTGTATCAGTTGAATGATGAGCAAGTATAGTGCAGCTCGCACCGTGCTGGAGTTGTTGCCACTCATGCAGGAGAGCTGGCTTGATTCCCTGCCAGCACAGCCGCCATCCAGCCGATGCACTGACTAACATGCAGGCAGCACAGCTTCCAGACTAAAGAGTGGGGACAAAGAATGTTCTATGGGTCACAGTGACCTGATCCCATGCTGCACAGGGTTTCCATGAGTTCAGGGCTGACTCAGTGCCAACCAGCCTCATTGATGATAGCACCATAACTTCTGACTGGTCTGCAGTTGTAACTGTTACTTTTGATGAGTTACTAGTGACCCGGCTAAATAGGTGTAAGGTGAGCTGAATATAAACCTAAAAATTGAATGTTCCAGATATATTATTAAATATACCAGGCGGGAAATCATTTCTCCTGTCTGTTCTGTGACCTACATTCTTTCCATCTGCTGCCCCCATTCATTTGGTACTTCACACATTATCTCTTCTGTCTCTATTTCATACTTTATCTAGATAGTATTTTTATCAAAATGAGGCATGCAGGTAATTTTAAAAATATTGAAATATGGGGCAGAGAAGGCAAAATTCTATACTGTCAAATCTTATTCGAGTTGCTAAAGAGATGCTCATTAAAGGGTTCTGGATGAGCCTCAGTACTGAAGAAATTTAGTGTAAAGTTGTATAGTTGAAGCTCCAATATGTTTTCACAATTATACTATTACCTGCATTTCTCAGTTTTCTGTTACCCCATTTCTGCTAGTGCTGTACTTGAGTTCTCGTAAACGTCTTTCCTCGTCAGTAAAATAAAGCACATCTACTAAACCCTATACAGAGTAGCTGTGGGTCAGAACCAACTTGAAGACACACAACAACACTGACTAGAGGAGCGGTGAGGCTTACATGATAATGTATATGTATATACGGTCCCTGACACAGACAGTGAACGCCTCACTGGACTGCAGCCACCAGCAATACTAAGGAACTTCTTCGTGTTGTTGTTTTTGTCTTTTCTAATGATTTTGCCTTGAGGTGTAAGTAACATACCATAAAATTTACCCATTAAAAGTGGTTTTTAGTATAATTACAGAGTTGTGCAACTACCACCACTATTGTCAGATGATACAGCCTTGCTTGCAGAAAGCCAAGAGGACTTAAAATGTTTTTACTGATGAGGCTCAGAGACCACATACAGCCTTTTATATAGATTACACCTCAGTGTAAAGAACACAGAACCTTCATAACTGGGAGCAATAAATAAAATCATAATAGAAAGAGAAAAAATTGATGTCAAAGTGATCAAGAGCAAAGGTGTCAGTATGAGGACTAAGGTGTGTCAAAGTATTTTCATTAGCCTCATATGCATGTGAAAGTTGGACAGTGAATAAGAAGATTGTAAAAGAATCAATGCATTTGAATTATGGTGTTGGAGATACATATTAAAAGTCCCATTGACAGCCAGAGGAAGAAACAAATCTGTGTTGGAAAAAATACGGCCAGAATGCCTTTTAGAAGCCAGGATGGAAAGACTTTGTCTCTCCTACTTCAGATGTGTTTTCAGGAGGGACTAGTCCCCAGTGAAGGACATCATGCTTGGAAAAGTGAAGGGTCAGTGAGAAAGAAAGACCTTCAACAAGATGGATTGACGCAGTGGTAGCAGCACTGTGTTCAAACTTAATTGTGCAGATGGCACAGGAATAGGTAGAGGTGTTGGCATCCACTCAGTGGTACCTAACAACTGTCTAGTATAGGGGTAGACCACATGCTGTTTTATCTGTTCATAACTTGATAACAGTTATTTTGTTGTTTCTATTTTTGGCTATTACGAACAATGCTGCTATGAATATTCATTCACAAGTTTTTTTCTAGACATGTGTTTTCAGTTCTCTCTGGTGTGTATGTAGATAGGAATCGTTGAGTCATATGGTAATTTACCATATGTAAGTAAGTAGTCAACGCATTGGCTGATAACTGTGAGGATAGAGGTTTGGGTTCATCCAGAAGCACCTTGGAAGAAAAGCCTGACAATCTACTTCTGAAAAAGCAGCCATCAAAAACCCCAACAAAGCATAGTTCTGCTCTGACTCACATGGGCATCATGAGTTGGAATCAACTTGACAGCAGTTGGTATGGTCATGTAATGTTTAACTTTTTGAGGAACCACTGAATTATTTCCACCACAGTTGCATTGTTTTAGGATTCCACAGCAATGAATGAGGGTTCCGCTTCATATGTGAGAAATAGATTTTTATTGCTAAAACTTGAAACATGCAAATGAGCATCAAAAGAAACAAAAACCTCACTGTCAAAAGTTAGCCAATGTTAATGTTTGGTGTGACTCCATTCTTAGGATTCTTTTCCTTAATGTTACATGGAACAAACTGCAATCTTATTTATTTTGTTATCAGACATGAGGGTTTCACATTTCTGCTGAGGCCACCATGCTCAGACACCAGGACCTTAGCATCAGGGCTCCCGCCCAGTTAAGAAAAGACATGGCGCTGTGCTGCCACAGGGGCAGTCAGCTGGGTGGCACTGAGGTGGAACCAGCTCGTGCTTACTGTTCATTGGCGCCAAGTAGGTTCTGATCCATGGCTGCCTGTGTGTAAAGCTGTGCCCTCTCTGAAACAGGTCATCAGGCCTGCCTTTGAAGGTGCTTCTGGATGGGTTTGAACCACCACGTGTCTGCTGGTAGTCGAGAACTTACCTATTTCCACTATCTAGTGCTTATTGTTGTGAGCCGTCAAGTTGGTTCTGACACACGGTGACCCTGAACGGATTTTCCAACAGTGGCTGCTAGGTTTGAACTGCTGACCTGTGGTTACCAGTCCAGAGTTTATCCGACATCACCACACCAGGACTTAGGCACTTACTGTTTCCTAAGACAAAGGAGCTCTAGTAGCATAGTGGTTACGAATCGGGCTGTGAACCACAAGGTCAGCAGTTCGAAACTGCCAGCTGCTCCATGGGAGAAAGATGAGGCTTTCTGCTCCTGTAAAGATTTACAGCTTCAGAAATCCTGTTCAGGGTTGCTATGGGTCAGAACCGACTTGACGGCACTTAAAAAAAAAGAAAAAAAGGACAAAGGAAATGCCAGTGGTGGGAACGGTAGTCATTTAGGAGGCTGTATAATGACTTTCCAATTTCTGGAAATGCTTTTGTGACTAACTTGTTTCTCACTTTCTCTCTTTCAGGAAAGTTCACATTCTTGGCTCTTTCCAAAACATCAAGATGGCAAGAACTGCCATTTGCAACCTCATTCTGGGTAATGTTTTCTCTGGAAAGAATAGAATAGAGAATTGGGGAACTCAAACTGCATGTGCAGCTTAGTTTAGGCTAAGGGTAATGTTCCACCACTCATCTGTCAGTTTGTCATACTGTGGTGGCTTATGAGTTGCTGTGATTCTGAAAGCTATGCCACGGGTTTTTCAAATACCAGCAGGGTCACCCATAGTGGACAGGTTTCAGATGAGCTTCGACGAAGACAGACTAGGAAGAAGTGACAAACTACTTCCGAATATTTAGTCACTGAATGAAAACCTTATGAATAGCAGAGAAACCCTGTCAGATATAGTGCCAAAAAATGAGCCCCTCAGGTTGGAAGGCACTCAAAATGCAACTGGGGAAGAGCTGCCTCCTCAAAGTAGAGTTGACCATGATGATGCGAGTGGAGTAAAGCCCATGGGAGAAAAGCCCACGAGACCTTCATTTGCTGATGGGGCACAACTCTAAGAGAAATAACTGTAAACATCCATTAATAATTGTAACATGGAATGTTTGAAGTACGAATCTAGGAAAATTGGAAATTGTGAAAAATGAAATGGAGCACATAAACATCAATGTCTTAGGCATTAGTGAGCTGAAATGGACTGGTATTGGCCATTTTGAATCTGACAACCATATGGTTTACTATGCCAGGAATGACAAAGAGAAATGGTGTTGCATTCATTGTCATAAAGAACATGTCCAGATCAATCATGATGTACAATGCTGTCTGTGATAGGATAATATCCATGCACCTACAGGGAAGCCCAATTAATACCACTATAATTCAAATTTACACACCAACCACTAAAGCCAGTGAGGATGACATAGAAGAATTCTACTAACTTCTTCAATCTGAGGTTGATTAAACATGCAATCAAGATGTATTGATCATTACTGATGATTGGAATGCAAAGGTTGGGAGCAAAGAGGAAAGATCAGTAGTTGGAAAATATGGCCTTGGTAATAAAAATGATGCTGGAGATTGCATGATAGAATTTTGCAAAATCAATGATTTCTTCATTTCACATACCTTCTTTAGATAGCATAAGAGACGATTATACACATGGACCTTACCAGATGGAATACACAGAAATCAAATTGACTACATATGAGGAAGGAGATGATGGAAAAGCTCTATATCATCAGTCAAAACAAGCAAGGCCAGGGGCAGATTGTTTAACAGACCATCAACTGCTTATATGCAAATTCTTCAGCTTCAGTTTAAATTTAGAGATCATCTGAAGAACAGATTTGATACATTAAACACTAAAAACCAAAGACCAGAAGAGTTGTGGGATGACATCAAGAACATCATACAGGAATAAAGCAAAAAGTCATTAAGACAGCAAAAAAGGAAAAGATCAAAATGGATGTCAAAGGAAGCACTGAAACTTGCTCTCCAGCATAGAGATGCTAAAGCAAACGGAAGATATGAAGGAGGTACAAGAGCTGAACAGAAAATTTCAAAGGTCAGCTAAAGAAGGCAAAGTCAAATATTACAGTGAAATGTGCAAAGATCTTGATTCAGAAAGCCAAAAGGGAGGGTGTTAACATGCTCAGCATTTCGCAAGCTGGGGAAACTGAAGAAAAATTCAATCCTCGACTTCCGTTATTGAAGGATTCTCTGGGCAAATTATTGAATGATGTAGAAAGCATCAAGAGAAGATGGAAGGAATATAGAATCACTGTACCAAAAGGAAATGGTTGATGTTCAACTGTTTTAAGAGGTAGCATATGATCAAGAGCCAATGATCCTGATGGAGGAAGTCCAAGGTGCATTGAAAGAATTGGAAAAGAACAAGGCACCAGGAATTGACAAAAAATGAAATATTTCAAAAAAGTGAGGCGGCACTGGAGGAATTCACTCATCTATGCCAAGAAATTTGGAAGACAACTATCTGGCCAACTGATTGGAAGAGATCATATTTCTGCCCATTCCAAAGAGAGGTGTCCCAACGAAATGTGAAAATCATTGGACAAGCTCTTTGATATCCCATGCGAGTAAAGTTTTTCTAAAGGTAATACAGGAACAGCTGCAAGCATACATTGACAGAGAACTTCCAGGGGTTCAAGCTGGATTTAGAAGAGGACGTGGAACGAAGGATATCATTGCTGATATCTGATGGATTTTGGCTGAAAGAGAATACCTGAAAGCTGCTTTACTCTGACTATGCAAAGGCTTTCAGTTGTGTGGATCGTGACAAGCTATCGACAACACTGGGAAGTATGCATATTCCTGAACACGTAATTGTGCTCATGAGGAATCTGTACATGGACCAAGAGGCAGTTTATCAAACAGAACATGGGAACACTGAAAGGTTTAAAATTAAGAAAGGTGTGTGACAGGGTTGTATTTTTTCACTATACTTATTCAACCTGTATGCTGAGCAAATAATCCGAGAAACTAGATTATGTGAAGAAAAATGTGGCATCAGAATTTGAGGAAGACTCATTAACAACCTGCAATATGCAGATGATACAACCTTGCTTGCTGAAAGTGAAGAGGACTTAAAATATGTACTGATGAAGATCAAAGAACAAAGACTCACCACTGCACCAATAAACATTCTTATCAACGGAGAAAAGATTGAAGTTGTAAAGGACTTCATTCTTCTTGGTTCATTTATCAACACTCATGGAAGCAGCAGTCAAGAAATCTAACAATGTATTGCATTAGGCAAATCTGCACAAGACTTTTTTGAAGTGTTGAAGAGCAATGATAGATTGAGGTCTAACGTGTGTGCCTGACCCAAGCCATGGTATTTTCAGTAACCTCTTATGCATGCGAAAGCTGGACAGTGAATAAGGAAGACCGTAGAAGAATTGATGCTTTTGAGTTAGGGTTTTGGAGGAGAATATCGAAAGTGCCATGGGCTGCCAAAAGAACCAACAGATCTGTGTTGGAAGAAGTGCAGCCAGAGTGCTCCTTGGAGGCCAGGATGGTCAAACTTCGTCTCATACTTTGGACATACTGTCAGGAGGGATCAGTTGCTGGAGAAGGATATGTTTGGTAAGGTGGAGGGTCAGAGAAAAAGAGAACGACCCACAGCGAGATGGACTGGCAAAATGGCAGCATCAATGGGCTCAACCGGGCAGTGTTTTGTTCTGTTGTGCATAGGGTTGCTATGAGTCGGTGCCAACTCGATGGCACCTAACAACAACAACAAGGGTAATGTTAGAATAGCAAACTTTGGGGATTGGCAGTTTTGGGAAATAGGGATGGGTCTCTGCTGGAGAAGAGAAAGTGTTTTACTGGGCTGTAGTCTTATATTTTTGCTGTTTTTCCCAGGTGAGGTGCACAGAAAAGGCATTTCAGAATTAGTGGGGAAATTATGTTTTACGTCCAACGTAAAAGAAACCCATCCATTTTCAGTCATGCCGCGAATCTAGTGCCTCCTGGTAGAGTTACAGGATGGCAGCAGCTCTCTCATACTTTGGCAGGCCTCTGTCAGTGTCCAAGTCTCACTGACAGCTCGGTGCCTTCAGCTCTTAGGAGTTTTGTTGTTGTTTTGAGAATATGATTTCCTTTAAGGTGGTTCTGGTAATATAAAATAATCTAATGGAAAATAATTCTTGTTACTTTTTACATGGCTTCTCTGTATATTTACACATGTAGCTTACCCTCTTTCTCTCTCTCTCTGTAGGAAGTCCTCCATCAAAGGTTTATGGCAATATCCGTGCCGTGGCTAGCAGAGCAGCAGATCGATTCTGATTTCAAATTAGACTCTTTATCTTTTACTTTGTGTTTTGACTTGAGAAACAAAGATCGTGCACTCTACAAACGACCGCACACGTCTTCCATCACTTCTGCTGTTCTTGTCCCGAAGCTGGAACCAGGAAGAAAAGTGGGAAGGTTCAGAGCCAACTGCTTTCCATCAGAAGTACATGCCATTATTAGACTTAACACTATTAAATATCCATCTTCTTCCTAAGTCACACGAGGCAGATTTGTATGAATTTACAAGATTTTTATTTATAAATTTATGACCTTATAAACGTATTAAAACTTCTCTGTGAATTTTGAGGAATTATCTAAGAAAAATCTATGATTCATGAACTCTCTCAATACTGGGGGTGTTGTGTGAAGGTTAGAAAAAGGTCTTTAGCAGTTTTTGCTATTCTGTGTGAACCAGGGCAAGCTAATCTTTGTACCTGTTTTACAGCTTTTTAAAATTAAAGCGCCATGTCACAAAGTTGATGTGAGGAAGGTTTCTTTTTCAGTTCAGTGCTTTAACAAAAGTAGTCAGACACCATCCATCAGGTGTATTTTTCTTATAAGTTGTGAAGTGCTGTTGAGTTGGTTCAGATTCATACTGACCATTGGCTGGTGGGTTTGAACCGCCGACCTTGCAGTTAGCAGTCCTGTTTTTATTATCGTACAGCACTATACCAGGACTCTGTAGTTGTAAAGGTGAAATGGTAGTTTTTTTTCTCAAGAAAATTGCTGCAAATGTAGATTTAACTAGCATTGCCATATTTAAGGATTACGTCATTTATTCCACACCTTAAGAAACATACTTCATTAAATACATTATTATTGTTAGGTGCCATTGAGTTAGTACCAATTCATAGCGACCCTATGCACAGAATGAAACACTGCCCGATCCTGGGCCAATCTCACAATTGTTGCCACGCTTGAGCACAGTTTGCCAATCTATCTCGTTGTGGGTCTTCCTCTTTTTCTCTGATCCTCCTCCACCTTACCAAATATGATATTCTTCTCCAGCGACTGGTCCCTCCTGACAGTATGTCTGAAGTATGAGAGATGAAATTAGGCCATATTAGGAAAGCACATTTCTCTTGAACCTTTCTAAAATCTTTGACCAAAACTTTTTCATGTTATGGAGTATTGGAAATTTCACGTAAGAACTAAAAGTAATGAGTTTCTATTTCCTTTATAATGCTTACATATACCACTGTCCCAAACATTGGTGCATTGCATGGGATTGGAGATATTTGCATGCCGTGGTTGAGAATCCAGTTAGATGTTGCTGGTAGTAAATATCCCACCCTATATGATGGTGTGGTGCTGTGGGCTTATGCGCTGGACTGCAAAGTCGTTTGAACCACAAGATTGGTGGTTCAAGCTCACCAGCCACTCCTTGGAAATCCTGTTCGGGGTTGCTATGGGTTGGAAAGGATACACTAATAGCATGTGGTGGTCACACTGAGCATGAGTATCAGTGTCAGATCCCTTTACTCAGATGTTTGTGAAAAGTCTGTAAGGTTCTGGAGTGTCTTGGTCCCCTACTTCATATGCACCCGTCTCCCTGCCCAAGAAGTCATGTAGTTGTTACTGCTTAATGCGTGCATTTTCTGGGAGTGTATCCATAGCTTTAACCAAAGAACTTAAAAGTGAATATAGTAACCATAAATGTTCCAGGTTGATTTTTTTCTTTTAGATATTTGAGTCAAAGTTAAAGGCATTTTTTGACTAGGGGCAAACATGGCATTCTCTGTTAATGCTTAAATACTGTTTCAATAAATATGAACCGACTTGGTGGCAACCCTATGTAGAGTTTTTGAGGTGGTAAATCTTTTAGGGACTAGAAAGCTCCATCTTCTCCCAAGGAGCAACTGGTTCATTTAAATTGCTGAAGTTGCGCTTAGTAGCGCAACCTGTAACCCACCAGAGCGCCTTTGAAATGAATACACACTGGAAGTTCATCTCAACAAGTTGGATCAAATCTCAATGATTATTTCTGCCACTCCTATAATCACCTATCTTTGGATACTTGCTATCTAGTAAAATTTCTGACATGGAACAGTTGGTACATCTATTAGACATTGCCGGGAGGATGGGTCTAAGGAGAGTTTTCCAAGGTATTCAGTACCTGGATATGTGGCTCCTCCTTCCACATTTCATAGTCTTACAGTCCTAGTGTGGCGCTGGGGGTTAATGTGCCAGACCGCAAGGTCAGTTTGAGCAGAGTCAGCAGTTCAAACCCACCAACTGCACCTTGGAAACCCTATACATGGTTGCTATGGGTTGGAACTGACTCAACAGCATATAACAAAACATCTAGAAAGGTAAAAAAAACATCTAGGAGAGACCTAATTTTCTTGAATTCAAAGCTAAGACAGGAATAAGAATAGCACATGCCATTACTAAAGTATACATGGGTAAGTCAGTATTGCTGTAAAACCAACTCTTCACTAAAAATAGGAAACTGAAGCTATTGTTTCTTGATAATGTTCTCCAATCTAGGTCTTTATACCTCTGAAGGCAGTGTTTGCCTCTCAAACCCATCCCTGAAGAACTCTCCCTTTTCAATGCACTGTCAAAACGGCAGTTCGAGAATTCTTGAAGGACTCAAACCATGTTGCTTTTCAATGTCCTTTGAATTTGGGGGAACAAAAAAATTTTGGAGGAGCAAAGATTGGGGCTGTAGGGTGGATGGAGTAATCTTTTCCAATAGAATTCTTGTAAGACAGTCCTTGCTACCTTCAAATGAGCAAGTGCACTGTAGTGACAAATTCCCCACTAATGCAGTTCTTAAAACCTTATCCTGTGGTCCTGTGAGAAAAATCTCAAGATTACCCTGAGGCCTCTCTAGATGTTCCATGGGAAGTGAACCCAAGATGTCTGAAGAGAATATGGAGGGAGAGGATTTTCTAGAGTAGGGACAGGTCTTTTTTTTAATCTGCACAGCCACTTCTGTTATTTTGGTCTCCAGGCACATGGGTTCTTAATTGTATCCACTCACCTTGTAATTATCAGTCTTTGGCCATCTGTATTTTAGAAGACATACACAGCGCCCCTTTGAGGATAATAAACTCAACTAGGACATGTATCAAAAAGTATGGTTTAGCTGCAGAGATTTGCAAATGTTAAAAAAAATAAAAGTGATTTCTTCATTAAGAACCTCTCTACTATTATCCTTGAACCACTTAGATGCGTTTTTCCTTTGTTGTAAAAGCACTGTCATATCCCAGGGTTTGGGAATCTTCTCTGAGTGCCCCAGCCCACACGATTCCCCATCTTCAAAACTCTTAATGTTGAGTGTGGTCCAGTTCTGTTTTCGAATATTCTGTGCATGCATGAACTGGCACCGTAGTAGAAATCCTTTTTGACTTGACCTAATACAGTTACACAGTGTATAATCACATTAAGTGTCATCGAATCAGTTCCAACCCACAGCAACCCTGTATAGGGTTTCCAAGGAGCAACTGGTAGATTTGAACCACCCACCTTGCAGTCATGTGCTTATGCTACAGCATCACACCAAAACTTCCATAATCACGTTACACATAGCAAGATGCTTCTGCAAATGCTAACTTGGTTTGAGAGACCAAGAACTAATTTTGATCTGAATAGCTCCATGTGGCAGGGGAGTAAGGTGGCTCGGAAGGATAAGCACTTCACAAAATGCTTATAATACAAGAAAGGCTTAAGTGGTAATGAATTTGAGCTTGAATGTTCGCTAATTCAATGAGATTTTTGAACATGTAGTTTTTGTAAATTAAGCATGTATGAGCGTGAACTTTTTTTGTGTGTGTGGGCATAAAGCCTGGAAAGCATCCAATCTTCTCTTACCATCTTGTCTACTGTAAGACTCTTAAATGCCATTGAGTCCATACTGTATAGGGTTTCTGAGGCTGGAAGTCTTCATGGGAGCAGAAAGCTTTCTCCGAGGAGTGGCTGGTAGTACTTAGCCTACAGAGCCACTACGCTCCCTAAGGCCATTGTTAAGTGCTTTCGCATCAGTTCCACAGTGACCCTTTATAGGGTTTCCGAGGAGCGGCTGGTGGATTTGAACCACCACCTTAAAATTCAAATCGACCGTGCAGTCCAGTGCTTATTCCACAGTGCCGCACCATTAGAACTAGGTAAAGAAAAGGAGACCCAGGATTTCTTGTGTGGGCTTAGCCAATTGATAAGTTGCTGAATCCATGCATGCATTATATCTCTTAACTAATGCAAACCTCAACTGTGGGTGTTCTGGGTAAAATGACTCACCTGGGCCAAGGTTATCATTATTCAAGGAAATGGAGCTTCAGTAAGCAACAGATAAAAATCACTTATTTCAACAGCTTGTGCACAAGCAAAATAGGTGTGTCAGAAAAGGATACATGCAATGGAAGAAGTAAAATCGAGCAGGGTGAAAAGGACTCAAGTTGTGCCTGATTTCTAGATGGGCCAGCCAGGCGAGTTCCTATGCAATCAACCCATCTGAGCCAGGCAGGCCTTAGCTATTTGGCTGTCTGATGGGAAAGGCAGTAAGTGGGAATGGAGGGAATCCTCTAGGGCTGTGTATGTGGTAGTAATGTGACTTGTTTTTACCTACTCACAAAATAAGGTTTGCTTTACACGTGGCTTATAGTCACAGATCAGACATGGGTTGATAAGTTAAAAACAAAAATCCAAAAGAAATTAAGACTGCTTTCTTTACTGGCTGTGAAAGTCCACAAACTACCACTGTGAATAACATTCAAACAAGTTTCAAATATTTTATTTTTTTATTCATACAGTAAGAAGTTTTCTAAAGATCCCACAACATGATGTATCATGCAGAAGAAAAACTAAACATACAACATAAACCACCCC